ATCGGATCGGAAGTCCAAAAACAATATCGGTATCGGATCGGAAGTGCAAAAACCTGGATCGGGACATCTCTACTTTGAATGCATCATAAATCCCTCCTCCAAACAGTTTTATTTTCTGCACACTACAGCAAATGGCAAACGAAGTATGGTGACAGCAGGTCGTTCAGCTGAGCAAATATATGGCAGTGGTTTGCGTCCTTTGAAGCAATCTGACTGGATGATCTGGTTGAACTGTAAAGTGCCTTAAGATGACTTGTGATGTGAATTGGCGCTGTATAAATAAACTGAATTGGTTTTCAAGCCGAGGACGTCGAACAAAAGGCGCTAATTTGTAAGATGTGCCGCAAAACCATTGCTGAAAAAGGTAGCAGTAAAAATTTATTCCACCACCTAAAAAGTCATCCGCTCCAAATTAAGAATGTTGTAAATCCTCCATGTCAGCTTCTCCCTGCACACCAATCAAAACGCTCAATAAATCAGCGTTGGCATCGCCGTTTGAAAAAGCAATCCCTTATGAGTAGGACTGGGTACCGAACATCGGTTCTTTTATGGTACCGACCGAAATGCTTCGGTTCTACAGAGTATCGAAACACGCCTCGTCTTTCGGTGCCAATTTTTGTTTAGGAAAATGTATTTTATGTTTCCCTCTTGTTTCAAAATGGTCTGATCAACCAGTGTATATATATGTTTTCCCTTGTGTGTCAGTTAGGTAGGTCTTTTCCTGCGTCAGGTTTGGATTATACTGATTTTTGTCATTCGTTTTCCTTGATGGGCCCAGACTTGTTTGAAGTTTGAACTTTATTTATGCTAAATAAATTTGTTACCATTTTTTCATCAATGACTTCCCTGTGCTGCTCTGATTTTTTTGGCTCGGTCCCTAACAACCCTTAACCGCTCCCCGGGCGCCCCAAGATGGCAGCCCACTGCTCCCCATGGGGATGCGTTAAATGCAGAGGTAAATTTCTCCAAAGTGAGATCAATAAAGTTCAGGCAATATTATTATTAACTAACCCTTCTTGAGCTGCTCCTCATGGATGCGCTGAGCCTCCTCCTCCTTCTGGCGGTAGTAAGCGTTACGGCGGTCTTCCTTGCGCTGCTTCTTCCTCTCTTCCAGGCGCTTTTTCCTCTCCTCAACCAAACGCTCCTCGAATGTCTTTAATTTCTCCTGTAAAACCCCAAATAAAGCCGTTTAAATACAGTCTTAAATACATGGGAACTCTGATTCCTCCACCAACTACTGCAAAGACTTCTACCTCGTAGATGAAGCTGCGGGCGGCTGTTATTTTAGCCAGGAAGCTCTCCTTGTCCTCCATCATCCTGGACATCCGCTTCTTATGCTCCAGAGCCTTTTCACGCTCGATCTTCAAGTTATTGATCTAAAAAAAGAAACGCAGCGCCGCTTAAGACTCTGAACATTCAGCTGGGGATTAACTTTTATTTGCTTACATACCCTCTCCTCCTCTTGGAGCTCCCACAACTCCATGTCTTTGACACGCTGCTCCTCATAAGCTTTCTTGATCAGAGGAATCTCCTCCAGGCGTTTTGCCCTCTCAAAGTAATCAATCTGTGGAGAAATAATCCTCAGTATCCTATTCAATGTAAATCTACTTCCACAGATCTAGACAGGAGCTTAAAGATCAACCTTCTTCTCCTGGTTCTTCAGACGCTCCTGAAGTTCCTTTTTCTCCTTCTCCAGCTGCTCCACCTGTTTAGCCATGATGAAATCTGGATCCAGCTCCTCCAGGTCCTGTGGTAAAATAGTAGAAAGTTATTTTTAATAAATCTGATTGTTTCTGTAAAATATTGAGTTAAATCGACTGAAATCTGGATGTTTTATGGGGTTGAATTTGACCTCGATGTCGATATCCTTGAAGGCTTTGGCTCCCAGTTCAGTTTTCTTGATCTGCTCCAGCCGTTCGCGGACCGTCTTCTTCTTGATCTGTTCGTGCTCCTGCATGATGCGCTCCTTCTCCCGCTCTTTGGCCTCCTGCCGCAGACGCTCCTCCTCGGCCTTGCGGACCTTCTGCAGCTCAGCCTCTCGCTGCTCCAGCTCCTCCTTCTCTCGCTGGATGTTCAGGCTTTCCAGGCGCTCCTTTCGCTCTTCGATGGTCTGTCTACGGGCCAGGATGCGCTGGTGATCCTTGCGAGCGTTTTTCAGGTACGCAGCGATAGCCTGCTGATTATGTTCGTCACGCTCTTGCTGGAGGGGAACAAAACAAATAAAAATTTTAAAAAGACTAATCATCTTCGGCAGCAACAAAAGCAAACATCTTTGTCACATTCATAATTACCATTTTAAACACAAACGGTACAATATTTTGTGAATATTTTATTTTATCCAACCCTGGGACCTCTTATAAAGGACGTCTCACTGTCCAGTGACAGATATAAATAATTATAAAGGACAAAAAAACAAAAACAAAAAAAAACAATGAAAGGTACAAATAAACATTTGAATCTCTACATAATAAAGGACAAATATTTATTGATGAGCTACTCCTGTATTTGTAATTCAAATAAATTATAATTTGATGAATAAATACATCAACCTAATCTGTGTTTGACCTTTTGCATCTATAATCCAACATGTTATGTAAAAATTTTATAGAAAAACGATATTAGCTTTGATTCAAGTTTTTTTAATTTTTATTTTCACTTTTTATTGAAAATATTTTTCCCCATACAAGTATACATACCGATTTTACAGTTTTTTTTTTTGTTTTTTGTTTTTTCCCAAACACAACATCCAACAGAATCTGTGCATATATTCTATACAAGTATTGAACTGTAAGCAAACTATTTACAGTCTGTAACTCTATAAGGGTACCCAAACCCACACTACTATTAAACAAAGTCTGATCTCCATGGTGAAATAAAACATCGCCAGTTTTCCCAATAATTTTTACATTTTCCAGATTCAAATCTGATGGAAAAAGTCAGCCTTTCCATAATATAAATATTATGTATCATTTCAACCCAATCTTCCCTTTTAGGAGCTTCTGCCTCCAGCCATTTCCTAGTAATGGCTTTTTTGCTTGCTACCAACATAATCCTATAGATATATTTATCAGCTGCTCTTGTTAATCTTTCCATCCCTCTCCCCATGTACCCACCCTCAGTACCTTATCCATACAACTCTTTAAATTCTGCCAATAGGGGACCATGTAGGTACAATCCCAAAACACATGGAAGTGGCAGCTTTGATTCAAGTTTTAAATCTACGCATCAATCTCTACATTCTGAAATCTCCATGGTAAGCAAGATTGGTTGTAGAACTGACCCTTTCTTAAAGGTTACAATTTTATTTCAATCTGGTCCATATTTTAAATAAGGGGGGAAAAAAGCCGATAATTATTAAAAGAATTATAAACTGATGCACCAACCAGCCAACACATATGTGCATCTGTCGATGGATGCATGTGTTGGCTAATTCATTAGTGCCCCCAGCAGCCATGCAAAGAGATCATAAGGACATGCAGCAGGTAGAAAGAAAATATATAGACACAGACTGTATTTTTTTTTTGTATTTTAAACTGATGTTTTCTATGAAGTTAAGCTTGCTGTGCTCATCCCCACCAGCAGAGGGTGCAGTAGCGCCACTGTGGACATAAAAAGCTCTCAGCCACAGCTCAGAAATGAGCTCTGGTCAGACGCGTTTCCCTCATTTTCCTGCAGGTACGTCTATAAAAGTAGAATATGTCAACTTAACTAGTTCTAATAAGATGTTAACAGATGTACATGATGTAGAAAGATTTACCGCTTCTAAACCATGAGTTTTATGGGATGCATGAAACTCCACTGTTTTGCATTGCCTTTGGCGTTTACTCAAAGATTATTAGTATGTAAATGATTTATCTGAAGCCAATATTATTGTAAGATGTAGCCAAGGTTTCTAGCAGGCTGCAATAAGCTCAGGTGTGAAATAAGCAGAGTTTATTAAATTAAGC